GCTGCCCATCAGCTCTCAGCCCACCATGCCTTACATGGCCACGTTAGGAGACGCTCTTGGCTTAGCCCCCGAAGCAGTCTGACTCAGCGGCACAGAAGTTATCCCAACCAAAAAGCTGGTTGAATCTAATCAACAACGAATATTAAGCAACTCTGACCTCGCCCAAATTTTCTGGCAGCCCTCGCAATGTTCCAGTCTGATTTATTTTTAAGTCTCTAATTGACTTTTAAGAGGCCTGCTCTCCTGAGCCAATTACCCAGGCCAATCTCCTTGAGGCTCCGCTTCTTCCACAAAGGACAAGCCTCCTTGCTGCTCAGCGCTGCCCGTCCCAGGGGAGCCCTGCGCAGCACTGACAGGCTGCCCCGTGCCTCGAGGGGCTCTCAGGCACCTTCTTCCCACTCTCCCAGCACCCCTAGCCGGCATGCAGCAGGGGAAGCTGCTCTGTGCTCAGACAGACACTTCCCTGGTGAAAGCAGCTCTGACACCCCTGTGAGTCCTCGGGCAGATATACTTGGCTTGGACCACGGCTGAGCTTGGCAGTGCCGGGCAGTGATTGTGGCACGACCTGGATGGGTGGCCCAGGGTAGATCTGTGTCCATTTGGCCCCAGCCTTCCCCAGGGAGCCTGTCCATCACCCCATACCACCCTGGTGGGAGCAGCCATGAGAGTGGCCACAAGGTCACTAGGAGCTCACCAGCTCTGAGTCCACCTGCTCTGGGGAGCTGCGCTGGGCAGGAGGCTTCCAGCATCACTGTCTGCATCACCAGCATACCCCCTCCTGCAGGCATCCCTCCCATCTGCCTCAAACCTCTCCTGCAAAACAGGGTGGCCATATCCAAAGGTGCCACTGGTGTGGGCGCTGGTGCCTACTGCCCTCCAGCTGTGCCCAGCTGTGCCTGCACTGGCTGGCAGGGCCAAAGTCACCCCAGGGAGCACCTGACAGCAGAACAGGCTGGTTGCTGCTGGGCACACACCTCAGCCCCACTTCAGCTCCTTGTGTGGCTGCAGCCACCATGCCCTCAGCCAAGGAAGGGCTCACAGGCTTTTTCCTTCCCAGCAGCAGAGGAAATGAATCCATCCCAGCAACTGGCACTTGCCAGTCATGGATTGTGGTAACTGTATTTTTTGCTAAAACTCTGTCTGCTACCACAGAGGCACAGGTGCTGTCCCCTTCCCAGCCCAGCAGCTCCAAGGCTGCTTTTCCAGCCACAGGCTGAACTACAAAACTCAAAGCCACCCCTCCACCACTCTCCACGCTCCAACTGCACCTCCAGAGCAAGCAGCTGCTCAGTCTTCCTCTGAAGACCTTTTCATTCTTCTCAACCACCATCAGTAAAAACTCCCAATACCCTTCCAGACCTTGCCTATCCTGCCTGAGAGGTTGTCCTCCCTCACATGGCCGGTTCCTGAAGCTTCCAGGGGCAAAGCTAGAGCTCTGAGTCTCCCCCTGTGACTTCTCTTCCCAGTCTGTGGTCCTCAGCTTTCCTACCTAGTGCTGAGCATCCAGGCATGGGGCCACTTACAAAACCCCTCTTGTCCTTCAACATCTGGATCTTCCTGCAGGCTCCCAACCTGTGGCTGCAATTCTTGCCTTGCTTCTTGCAATTGGCATGCAGGGATCACAGCCTGGGTCTCAAAGCAGCTCTACCAGTGGGTTCTGCTGCCCTCTCCCTCAGCAAGTCCCCATACTGATTTGGGGTTTTACATCAGCAAAGCATAACCTTGCTCTCAGGATGAGGCCCTACCCAGCCATGCTATGAAATGGGTTTTCTTCCAACACTCAAGCCACTCTCATGCTGTTAAATATGGACTATCAGCCTCAATAGGCTGCAAGTGCCCCATTCCTGGCACCCATCTGTCACCACTCAAAGCCCCAGCTGGCTTGGAGAACATGCTTCTTCAAGAGAGAAAACCAGGATCCCAATCCTCAAGCAAATGGAGAACAGACCAAAGAGACGTGTCCATATCTGAGGCAACTGATGTGATGCTAATTTTCTTGCCAATGAGCTAATGTCTCAGAATGCTTCTTTTTAGTGTACTTTCTAAAGTGACATTTCAGTTTGGCTTGAAGAAACACTGAGATAATATTTTTTACATTAGATACATTTTCAACCTAAGAACTGGCCCACACTCAAGGAATAAAGATGAAATTTGGTATTGTGCGAGTATCCTCAGCGTGCTTGAAATGAGTCACCCCCGAGCAGACCCAGTGCTAGCTCATCCCTCTCTCCACTGCCTGCCTAGGACAGCCACTGCCACCCCCCACATCGCTGGGAGCACAGGTCCCTCTGCCACCTCAGAGGTGTTTGCTGGAGAGCTGGCAGCAGCAAGGTGCTTCTGGGGGTCTCTGCGAGGAAGGTACGTGGTCCAGCTCAGGGCTTGCCCCAGGACAGAGGCTCTTCACCAACCACCTCCTACTCCAGCTCAGCACAAGGACCGTGTTGTGCTCCCAGCCCTGGGGAGCTGCTGCAGGAACATGGTCCTGCTCTGGGCCACCACATCACAGACACTCCTCCTTCAGGGCCAGATGCATCTCCAGGGCCCAAATGTTTCTTCTCAGGGCCAAACACTCCTTCCCTGGAGCCAGATCCTCGTCTCACCCCAATATTCCTCCTCCAGCCGACTGCCTGGAGCCCAGCAGGAGAGACAGCAGCACCTTCCCTGGCTGCAATACAGCATGTCACTGCAGGAACCCTGACATACTTTCCACCTTGCCACCACAAACTGGGCTCACTCAGCACCATGTTCTCTCCATGGCTGCCAGCAACCAGGAGCAAATCTTTCTCTCCTGGATGTGGGGCAGCAATAAGGCACTAGCTCAGCAAAGCCTACCCCAGGGGGCTGACCTCCAGCTCCTGACTGCCAGTAGGGATGTATCTGCATGATGGGACCCCTCCTGCTCCAATGCCTTGCTGCCTGGGAGTGGGGACAGAGAGACTTCCCTGGGGACAAGCTGGGCTGGGTGGCCATTGGTTTCAGCTGGGGGTGCTCAGCTGAGCTCCTGGGTTGTCCAGGTCCTGCCTGACACATTTCCAGGTGAAACACCTGCTGCAGGAAACTCAAAACCTCCAATCACAATCCAAGTGCTACTTGGTCCCCACAGGAGGTCGGTCGGTTTGCATCCTGCACCGTGAAGGGACAGAGCAGGGAACCTGGTCCAAGTCTGTGAGGGATACACGCATGGGGCAGAGTAGCACTCTGTCCTCGATTCACAATGCCCCGCACGCATGGCTAGATGCCCGATGCCTCCGCCAAGTGAGCCCAGCCTGCCTAATATTGCTGCTAAGAATGTACCAGACCGGATCTTTGGCTGAGCTAAATAAACGCAGCTCCCTCCATCGGTCTCAGTGGAGCGACTTTGATTTATTACAGCCAAGATCTGGGCTGGTTCATTCCTTGCAGAATTGAAGTTAGGGCTGGGAGGACACTTGAAGGTCAGCCAGGCCAGCCTCCAACCACAGGCAGGGCTGGTCCTGCTTTTTGGCAGCTCTGGAGTCCAATCTAGTCCTCAAATCACCCAGCCACAGTGGCACCCACCAGCATTACTGCTGCCAGATCCAGGTAGGACTGAATTTTGGGCAGCTGTGCCCCTCTTCAGTTCTGTTTCTCTGCAGACTTCCAGAGCCTCCCCTGCACCACCAGCCCTCTCCAGAGATGCCTGCCTGTCCTCCATCACCCCATCCCACCAGCCCCTCTTGTGGGGGACACAACTGCTCTTGCAGAGGACAGGGGCTGACTCTGCAATTCTACCAAACAATTTCTGGAGTCAGCTGAGAGCCTTAAAATCTGGTTACTCACCTGCTGCGTGGAGGGTTGTCTTCCTCTTCACATGTGATGGGATCAGTGCAGGGAAACCTGGGTCTCTCAGACCCTTGGACAAAGCCCAGCCTAGGGACTCTGGGTCAGACCCAGGGGCTAGAATTAACACCTGACACAAGAGGGTGCATCCCACAGAGATGTGCTGCTGCCTGTGCCTCTGCAGGCAGCCCTGCCAGTCCTGGGACCCTGACTGCTGCCCCCACCCTCCATGCCGTGAAGGGGTGATGCGTCATCCTGTGTCCAGGCTCCTGCTGCCCTTCATGGCTCAACATGGAAATGCCTGGGGGAAAATTCCTCCCCCAGGCTTGTGCCTCATTTCTTGCTGTGTCAATGCTTGTGGCGAGACCTATTCACCCTGCACCCTAGCCTTGTCCCCTTCCTGTGTTCCCACTCCATCCCTCCCTTCCCCTATCTCCATCCTTTCTGGGTTGCCCTCCTTCCTCTGCGCAGCCCTCACTCCCAGCCTCCCGCATCACACCCTGAATCCACCCCATGGGGCCCCAAACTGGGCACAGCCCTCAGGGCATCATCTCACCAGTCTGCCCAGT